TCCAACCTGGGATCAAGTGATGCTCTTGCCTCAGCCTCCAGAGAGCTGGACTCCAGGTGTGCACCAGTGAAGTGTACTTCAATGAAGCTACTTTAAAAAGTAAAGAACCAGGTGCAGGGGCACCTACCTATGATCCCATCTACTCAAGATGTCAAGTCAGGATGATTGCGTGTTCAAAGCAGCTTATGCAATTTAGCAAGATTCTGTCTCAAAATACAAAGGGCTGGCTATGTTGCTCAGTGGTAAAGTAGGCCCTGGATTCAATTCCCAGTACAAGAAGAAAGAGAGAGAGAAGAGAAAAAAAAGAGGAGAGGAGGGAGGAAAGGAAAGGAAAACACCTAAGATAATTTTTATAAATATTAAAGTCTAACACACAAACTGGAATAGTTCCAGTTGGGCCTTTTCTCACTTCCCAGGCCTCATCTATTCCTATGTGTTAAGAACTCCCAATGTACACCTGGTCTCCTAAGCTCCAAAATGCCTGCTAAATATTTTTATCGTGAGTGCCTGCAGGCACTTTCAAAATCCAAACCCTCCATACCCAGTTAAAAACAATAATGGGCTGGGGATGTAGCTCAATAGTAGAACACTTGCCTAGTGCGTGTGAGGCCCAAAACCACACACACTCCCCAAACCACAATGATAACAAGAGTAACTTTTACAAAAAGTTCCTCTATTGGACTCTTATGCTTTTCTGATGATTAGACTGGGGTAATGGGTTTTGGGGGAGGTCATGGGGTGAAGTGCTATTTCATTACCTTTTATTATTAAGGATACACACATTAAACATGATGTCACTGTTAAAGCTGACCTTGGTCTCCAGGCTGAGGTAGGTGTTGTTATGATAGGTTTCTCCTCTATATGAACCACATTTAAGGAGTAGGAAGTTAGGTTTCCTTGAGGGTGGAACGTCTACATAAATCATTTGGAGTTCTTCTGCCTGGGATACTGGGATTTTTAAGTCCTTAAGTTTTGGTGTGGTATAACACACAGCAAGATGTTTGAAACACACTCAAACCTTCTCACCATCTCACATCACACTTTACTACTTACCTGCTACATGTCACTCCCTCTGCTTATGACACTCCTCTCCTCCCCACCCACCCTCCCAGCAACAAACCAATTTTTTATTTTATTTTTTTAATATTTATTTCTTAGTTGGACACAACATCTTTATTTTATTTATTTATTTTTACATGGTGCTGAGGATCAAACCCAGGGCCTTGCATGTGCTAGGCAAGCGCTCTGCCGCTGAGCCACAACCCCAGCCCCCCGAATTTTTTAAAAAATATTTTTGTAGATGTAGATGGGACAGCATGCCTTTATTTTATTTATTTTTATGCGGTGCTAAGGATTGAACCCAGTGCCTCACATATGCTAGGCAAGTGCTCTGCCACTGAGCTACAGCCCTATCCCCAACAAACCAATTTTTCTTTTAAATATTTAGTTTTAGTTTTAGGTGGACACAATATCTTTATTTTATTTTTACGTGGTGCTGAGAATCGAACCCAGTGCCTCACACATGCTAGGCAAGCGCGCTACCACTTGAGCCACATCCCCAACCCCAACAAACCAATTTTTAAAAATCTTTCTTCTTCTCACAAAATCCAGTTCAAGGGTCACAGTCTCCATTGTGGAGCTTCTTTCCAGGAAGAATTCACCACTTTGGGCTAGGCACACGTTTACTATCAGTATCATGGTCTGATTAGCATGGCTCCCTCTCTCACCTTGACTGAAGTTCCCCACATGCAAACACAATGTCTTACATGACCTGGCATGCCTAAACAGGGCATCAACAAACAGCAGGTGCCTAATAAGTGTTTCTGACTTAAATAATTAATGACTATTTTATTGAGAATGACTCTACTGTGATGTTATTAGTAATATCTCAATTTAAAAAAATGATGGAGAAAGGATGACATAGCTGGGGTCCAAGACATGTCAGTAAATCAACACCACAGCTAAAACCTCCCTGACAATAGAAAGCTCTGCTCTGAACAGCTTAGACCAGACACATAAAGAAAAATGATCATTGCATTCAACAAGTGAAAGCCACATATGACAGACAGAATATATTTTAGATCAACAGGCACATAACTGTCAAATAAAGTAGGTGAGCTGATTCTTTCTCTAGGGGATTCAGGCCAATGAAGTACATATCCTTGCCTTTGGAGTTCCTGATAAGTCACCAAAGACTTTTTTTTACAGAACATAATTTTCTTACCTAACCTCAAAAAGTACGGAAAAATAAGATGGACTCTTGGTTAGCTGTGTTAGTTCTATTCAGTTTTCTCTCTCACATACATAGCAGCAAAATTAAATAAGGCCTGAAGTGGTCCTTGGGAAAACCATAAGTAGTAGTCGCTAAGCCTACAAAGAACATATTTAAGAGCTACTTCTGAAGTTTTACCTTGATAATAACTGTCAACTTGTCTTCTTTCAGTACCTTTTTTTTTTTTTTTTTTTTTTTGGTACTGGGGATTGAACCTGGGGGGTACTTTACATTGAGTTAAACCCCCAGCCCTCCTTTTGTTTAAATTTTTTTTTATTTTGAGGCAGGGTCTTGCTGAGTTGCTTAGGGCCTTGCTAAATTGATGGCCTTGAACTTGTTATCCTCCTGCCTTAGCCTCCTAAGTTGCTGGGATTACAGGTGTGTGCCAATGTGGTCAGCTGCCATTCTTCACTTTGATACAGTCGCACTAAATTGCCGAATGTCTCACCAAGTTGCCTAGGCTGGTCTTGAACCTGTGAGCTCCTGCGTTGGCCTCCTGAGCAGATAGAAAGGAGGCATGTGCCATTGTGCCTGGCTTTTTATTCAAAGACAGCCACAAACTGTTACCAAAAACACTATGATAAATTTCTGCGTTAACATGAAATCATTCCAAATACAAGATTTTAAACAAAAGGCAACACAGGGAGAATAAAACATAAAAACCTGAATTGAATTAAGACTGATGAGGCTGAAGTTATACTCTAACTTCTGATTAACAGAAGCATCTACTTTCTTCAAGTATAAGAAGAATGTTCTTTCTAATTGATTTTAAACTGATAAAATATTAAGTAAATAAAAAATCAAGAAAACCAGCCCCCCCGTCCCAGCCAAACAAAGGTAAAATCTGAGTTTATGGCATAATCTATTACATGCTCAGTAAGCAATCTTCTAATTACCCCTCAGCTTTCCAGGGAGAGATATATTAGTAGCCAGGGAATCCTAGAATCCAGTCTTCATTAACATTATATTTCATTATAAAATAATGAATTAGGATCTTGGGGAAGTGTGTATGTGTACCTCAGAAATCCCAGGGTGTATGTGTCTTGAGAGTCCTGGGCATGTGTTGAGGCGATTCCTAGAGCCTCTGAGTTTTGTTGGTTCTGACAGCCCTCACTGAGACTTAGGGTCTAGGTACATCTAGTGTAAGCCTATAGGCTTCTGCCCTGGCTACAGAAAGAAGGAAGAGACCTGGTGAGATGGGGGGGGGGGGGAATAAGAAGACAAGATGGCAGGTGTCCCCCCTCCATGGACCTGATCACAACCCTATTGAGTGGTGAAGTTCAAAATCATGCTGAAGGAGCTGTTGAGGAAGGGACTCAGTTTCTTACAGCCTAGCACACAATGTGCAAGGGCAGACTAGCGTGTGGCCTCTCTGGAATCCAGTGAATCAAAGCAGGAAGCCAACAGGCAGTGAGCATGGGTAACAGGAATCCAGTGACATTTTTTTTCCTTTTTTAAAATTTTAACAATTATTGATATGAAATTCATATAACATAAACATATTGAAATGAACAATTCAGAGGCATCTAATGTATCTGCAATGCTGTGCATCTACCACTTCTACCTAGTTCCAAAATGTTTTCATCACCCCATGTGGAAACCCCATATCCATTAGGCAGTTACTGTCCATTCCACATCTCCCTCCTCCAATCTCCAGAAACCACCCACCTGCCTCTGCCTATGGATTTATCTATTCTGCACATGTCCCCTATGTGGCATGATGCAATATATGATCTTTTGTGTCCAGTTTCTTCCACTCAGTATGCTTAGGGGGGTTCTTGGTGCCATTTTGACTGGTCTCCACTTTGGCTCTGGTGAAAGAATAAGCATCCCATAGAGAATACTCGTGGCAGTGCAGCAGCAGAGGGCCTCCCGCCTTTGGGGATCCTTGGGCAAGGTGCAGTGCTAGAGACTGTTTAGAAGACAATGTGAGGTACCTAGAGGCTCCCAGAAGAAAAGGTCCCATGTGACCACATCAGGAAAGAGCCAAGGAAATTCAGGACATGGAGCCAGATAGAAGTAGATAAACACAGATAACCTATTTGTAGATTGGGTTTGACAAAGAAAAAAATTCCTTCCGTTTTAAATGAAAAACCAACAAATTATCACTTAAAATTTATAATAGAAAAATGTCTGAAAAGCACAAGTGACTGCTTCTGTGCAGCAAGAACAGGGACAGGCTTTTACTTTCAGCCTCATATACTTCTGACTGTTAATTTTTACAAGTATATTAAACTTTCATATTTTTTTAAAGAGAGAGAGAGAGAGAGAATTTTAATATTTATTTTTTAGTTTTCGGCGGACACAACATCTTTGTTTGTATGTGGTGCTGAGGATCAAACCCTGGCCGCATGCATGCCAGGCGAGCGCGCTACTGCTTGAGCCACATCCCCAGCCCCTAAACTTTCATATTAAAAGTGAAAAGATAAAATGATATTCTAATAGTGAATCATAAAGTTCCAGTCAAATTTATTTTAAATTTGTCACACAGAATAACAAAAACATGAGCCCCCAAATAAACTTTTCCTCCTCTTAAAAGAAAAAAAAAAAAGAATAACAAAAACAGATACTGAGAAGAAAAAAAATCTTTCCAGATCTAGGTTAGGTTCTAATTTAAATCAATCTAATTTATAAATTCACCTAAAACAAAACACCCACTCTACTCATCCACTGCCTCTACTATTGGATTTCTACTCAAATTCTTCATATTTGTAGGTACGTTACTGACCTTGGAACTGCTTTCTTCCGACACTTCTCCCTCATTAGTTTGCATGGGAACAGACTCTGTGCAAAACTCTGCAGAAAAACACAACTGCTGCCTGAAAGAGAGATAAGGAGAGAAAAACGCATGTAAGGAATTTGGGCAAAAGTTTACTTCCCTAAAGATTTAAACTGAAATTTTGTCACTGAGACCATGGATCCTGTGAGGAGATGACCTTAGGCACTTTGAGTGTGTGTGTGCACGCTCACGCTAGGTTACCACGTGCATCTTAGGTAAGAAGAAAGATGGAGTGAGGTGGAGCAGGACTCTTTCCCTATGCTGGAGGAGCAGGATAACTGTGAAAGGCTTAAGGCACTGGGATATTAATAGCTCTAGATTTCTTTCCCAATCTTATGTGGCTCTTGGCAGAAGTGATAATGGAAATCTTCAACGGTTCTTGCAGTCAATACCAACCTGCCAGAAGGACTCAGTGAGCAAGGCGGTGTGCCAGCTGTTGCGCTGCAGCAGGTCACACTGCTGGATATTGGGCTAGGCTGCTGGACCTGGCCAGGTTTTCTGGGTTTATGATTTATGTTCAACAGACTTGTTTTTGTAACAAAAATGAAAGTCCATTCTAACAGGTGGTCCACTTTTTTTTTTTTTTTTTTAAGAAAATACGCCTAGCCAACTAAATGTCAGCTAATTTATTTTGATAAAACACTAGGCTAGGGCTGGGGATGTGGGTCAAGCGGTGGTGCGTGTGCCTGGCATGCGCGCGGCGCTGGGTTCGATCCTCAGCACCACATACAAATAAAGATGCTGTATCCGCCGAAAACTAAAAAAAAAAAAAAAAAAAATAAAAAAAAAAACCTCTCTCTCTCTCTGAAAACAAACAAACAAAAAAAACACTAGGCTATTTGTGGGGTAAAACAACAAAGAATAGTAATTTTTCCTTTCAATACCAATCAAGCAAAAGTTTGCTAAAATGATCTGAATTACAATATGCCAAAAGGAGTCAGTGCACACCTGCAATCCCAGATACTCAGGAGGCTCAGGCAGAAGAATTAAAAGTTCAAGGCCAACCTGGGCAACTTAGTGAGACTGTCTCAAAATAAAAAGTGCTGGGATGTGGGTCAGCGGGGAGTGCTCACCTAGCATGCATGAGGTCCTGGGTTCCGTCCCCAGGACCACTCCCCTAAAAAAAATTTTTTTTGAAATAAATAAAAACTTAAAACCTCTCAAATATTTCAAAAGACTGACAGCTACAAAATGTAAAACCTAAAATGATGCTTGTAACACATGCTTTTCTGTGTGCAGAGACGTCTCTTTGTGAAAACACCAGGGCATGGCAATCCCTTCTGGTTCAGGTTTCTTAATAGCCAGCTGCAAGACCTGAGGCTAAGAAGGCACTTCTGGGTTTCCACAGCTATTGGCTGGGAAAAGGGGGTATTCAAAATATCTAGTGAGCTTGCCCAACAAGGTTTTTTGGGAACAAATATTTATTTACGTGATGTGAGTTTACAATTGGTACAGCAGAAATTCTCACGCAACCTCCATTCACTTTCACTCGTTCACGTGTTACCCTGTGCTGCCCAGTCCCCCAACACACACACACACACACACACACACACACACACACGAGGTGCACAGCAAGTACAACAGGCTCTCTCTAGTTGCTTTTGCCCTTCACTGTTTATGACAGTTGTGTAAAAACAGGATTGCTCTCTCTATTAAAATTTAGTTGACAACATTCAAAAAATTCAAAAACAACCAGCAAGATATGAACTGCAAAGCACCTCCCAACCATCCTCCTACTCACAGGAAGGGAGGTGGGTACTCGCAGAGGATGCACTCCACACACCAAGAATTCCCTTCCGCTCCCAGGTCTGCGCTCTCAGCCAGCACTGGTTACTCTCTGCTCTGAGTCCTGGGGCTCCACCCAGGCTTCCGGTAGGAAGGCAGGAGAGGAAGGAGGCAGGCGATGGTGTGCTCCTCTAGGAAAGGCCACTGCTGGTGTACGGCAGACTGCTTGACCTACAGCTTTACCACCTCCCCCCTTCTCTTGTCCAGCCCTCGCTTTCTTACATCTTACATCTTTCTCGCTGACCCTTCTCTGACCTTCACTGCTCTTTTCCTCCCTGATTCCTCTTCCCTGCCCCAACAATAAACAGCCCTCTGTCCTCCCCAACCTTCCTACCCACCACTTTCAAGGTTGTTATCAAGACCTTCCCCCAGACATGGACCTCACTATGCTGCCCAGGCTAGCCTCCAACTCCTGGGCTCAAGATATACTCCTGCCTTAGCCTTCCAAAGAGCCAGGACTACAGGTGTACACCATGGTGCCCAGCTTAACCAAAGACTTTTGCCCCTACATTCACTTTCTAAAATCCATCATTTCCTCACAAGATCCCATCTATTCATCAAGGCCTTATTAAGTCTTACCTTCTCTCCTTATAGCAGCCATAAATTTTTCAACATGTTGGAGAAGAAATTATTAAGGAAGAACAATGGACCTGTACCCATCCAGTGGCTGGCAACAGTGGACAACCTTACTATTGTTAGGCCTGAAGGGGCAGGAAGCAGTGACAAGCCTAGAGACAGTCACAGCTGTAACTCAAGTCAGACGCAAAGGACTATGTATATGAGACGTTGAGAAATTTCCCCTTTATCTCATTTCCCTTGGGAACCTCATTTTCCTGAGGATTGAATGTAATAGGTCGAAGGACATGCAGATGGCCACTCTCAGAGTTCCCTCTATTCTCCTATACTCAATCCCCAGTTCTCACTGAACATTTCCCTGTGCCTTTATGCTCACAGGATGCTGCTTCCCTCTCCTGCTGGTTCCTCTCTACCCCAAAGGAGACAAAAGTTTGCCTTGAAGAGACTTATCTGGAAGGAGAGCCAAGGTGGGTGGAGCTCAGCCCTTCCTTCCCTTGGGAAGGAGCTACCACTGGGGAGCAGGCATTCTTCTGGCTCTTGTACCCCTAAATGGAAGACCCTCACAACTACCTACAACTAAGTAAGTCTGCCGAATTCTGAGGCTTACTGTTAAGAAATTCACTTAGCAGTATCTATGTGTAAGTCACATTCTTCAATACAGTTTTGTCAGTAACAGAGACAATAGTTTGGTCTCTCAAATGCTTTCCTTTTTTATCTCATTTCTCCACTGGTACACAGCTCAGTCAAGGGGAGGATAGTACTATTTATTAGATCTCAAAGAGCCTAATATCTAGTGCATGAGACTGATATCTGGATAAAAAAACAGGAAGTAAAATTGGGGGGCATGAAATACATGTGGAATTTTTGAAGCTTCAATTGGAGGCCAGGACTTTGGGCCTTTAATGAGACACGAAGGATTCTCCTGTAGATGATTACATTAGGCCACACAGGTTTTTACTTGTGTGTTAGCTTTTTAACTACTGAAGCTTATAAACTATAGGCCACACAGTATTTTGACCTTAACGGTAACTGTAGTTATGGCAACTTTGTCGTCAGGTAAGTGATTGTTTCTATAGAGACAAGGCTGCATGCACTAGGCTCAGAAATTTCGGCAAAGACTATGGGGGCTTTGAAAGCCTCGCCAAGAAACAAGCCAAAATTGTGACGGTGGCACTGAAAGCTCATCTAAACCAAACTCCAGCTGTGCAGGCGGTCTCAGCATACACCATCCACTTTGGCCTAGCAAGCAGACGCCATGTGTGCTAGCCTCAGCATAGGGTGTTAGCAGGCGTGGGTGGCTTCAGTGTACAGAGGGCTGCTGCTTGACCTTGAATTATGCTGGCATAGCTCTTCCTAAGCTGGCATGGCTGAGGAAAGATTAGACTTTAGGGAAGAGTCTTCATTTAGGCCTTTCGGACATCAGAAAGTGGGACATTTATTTGCTGCATACAAGCTAGAAGACGGGTGAACTTCAAAGAGCATGAGTCTTACAAAGTGAGCAAAGTTGTCCTTTAAAATTGTTTGTGGACTAATAAACAGTACACAGTTGAGCCCAAGGGGAAATGGAAAGGAAGAGGTTTCTGTCTACACCAGAAAGAAAGGCAGGAGGGAAGCAGTGAAGGGAGGAAGGGGCTTGGCAGACTCTGGCTGTCTGGACTTATTGGTAAAGACCAATGCACTACGAGACAAGAGCTGGGGAGCACTAGGGGAGAGGAACCTTCTCCCCATCCTTGAGGATTCCCTCCATGTGGGACAATGTGAATGTTTTAATATCATGAACTTACCATAACATGACTCATGCTGTTGGGGTGAAGAGACTTACCTGATTAGTGTCTCTGGAAAAAGAAGTGAACCTGGACTTACACTGGCCAGCCCCCTCTGGCCCCTTTCCAAGAGGGGAGCCTATTAGGCTCCCTGCCCTCCCTCTTCTACTAGGCAGGCCTCTCCTAGATTAGAGCTATGGGCTGAGCACACTTGTTAAATCCTGGAGTTCTGAACTAAGAAGCCTATCTGCCCTTAGGTATGTCAGCTTTATTAGTAATAAAAGTGACATTCTGATCTCTACCTGTCTTATTTCTTTGTCACATACCTCTGCTGGTTTAGAACTTGGGCAGGGAAATGATTATTATTTATTGGGTCCAATTCTATCCCAATTTGCATCTGAGTCTACTCCTCACAATTAAGTTCAGCTTCTGAATCTGCTTACGCTGTCCCATAATCCCATGACCATGACATCAATAACATACCTTTCCTTCCAAAGCCCTCGCTAACTTCGCTATACACAAAGGACACACTATTCGGCACTTTACTCAGGCAAATCTTTCCCTCTCTCCACACAAATGTGCTAATAACTACCTATGAACAATCGCCAGTCATACCTACTATCATTTGGACATTAAATGTCCCCCCAAAGGTCCTTGTGTTAAAGGGTTGGTCCCCACATTGGCACAATTGGGAGGCAGAAAGTCCTCTAAGAGGCGGGGCCTAGTAGAAGGTCTTTAGGTCACTGGGAATGTGCCTAGGACTATAGGTGTGTACTATCATGTCTGGCAGGAATCATTTTTAGAAATAAAAATTGCTGGGTGCAGTGTCACACACCTGTAATCCAAGACACTCAGGAGGCTGAAGAAGGAGGACTGTAACCTGTCTCAAAATAAAAAGGGCTGGGATCAGCTTATT